AGCAGGTGCAGTCGGCTGGTGGTTGGGCTATGCGCCCCCTTCTGGCTGCACTCAAGTCATGGGGCACCCCTTGGCAGCTGTCAGGAGGACAGAACCTGAGTATGCCCACCAGAGCTTTGTCAGGGTCCTGCTTCCTCTGCTGGACAGCAGATGCCTGTGACCTCAGAGCCCCTGAATACTTGTACCCCACATGCCTTAGCTCAGCAGATGGCATCTGGAACCAGCCCGAGGACAGACGGCCCTTCCAGCTCCCCCTCAACACCAGGGGCACCTACCTTATAATCAGTGCCTGCTGCACCCCTTTAGCTGTTGCAATGCAATGTCCTTGCCCTTTGGGGGACACTGAGAGGGACCTGTGGTGAGCCAGGAGGGGTTCCCAACTTGGCATGCTTGCTGAGCTCCCGTCCTGTGAGCCACTGTCCTGTGCTACGTGCCTAGAGCTCCTGCTGGTCCCAGGGGAGGCCTGGGCTGGGCCAGGCTGGCAAGGGTGGGGCTAATGGTTGGCTCCAAGGCTGTGGTGGTGCCTGCAGCCTGCCCAGGCCTTCAAAGGGGCTATGGGCGGTGGCAAATACAGGCTCTTTATGGTTTTCCTGAGGGAGAGGAACCTGGCTGAGGAAGCCATTGTCTCCACACAATGGGCCTGGCTGAGACTCACAGGGTGAGGGCCAGGCCCCACACTTGTGGAGCCAACCCTGATCTCAGCTCATTCTTCACCCTACCTCAGCTCTTTCAACGCTGGCCCTTGGAGATCCTTTCTGCAGAGCCCTCCATTACTACCCACTAGGGAAGAGCCATGACAGGGTAGGGGTGCTCTCAGGGCAACTCCAAAGGGCCTTGGTAGAGGGGGTGCCTGCAACCATCCAGTCTCACTGCTCCCATGGAGGCTTGCTGGGCCTAGGTGGGCAGAGATTCAGGCAGGAGGCCTGGACACTTATGGTGGGTGGAGGATAGTGCCCACTCAGCTAGGTGATGTGGGAAGTCCCTTTTGCAGCAGTCCAGCTCAGTCACTGCTTCTCTCAATTTAAAGTTTATGATAAATGTGTAACAATGCCAGGCTCCTGGCTTAGTGAGGCCTGGATTCCCAACTGGCATGGCCCTCTGGACCACATCAAGGTGATGGTCATCATGACTCTTGCCCACAGCTTCAGGCTGGTGGAGCCAGCTGGCTGCTGCAAGGACCTCCCTGTGTGAGAGGATATGGGTCAGACCTTGGTGAGTGGAGGTGGGTCTGAAGGTGGGCAGGGCAGCATGCACTATTCATGGAGCAAGACCCAGAGAATGGTGTTTGTGTACTCCAGGGTGGAGGGTCAACATGTGCACCTGTGCAATGCAGGGTAGGGGCTGGTGGTTTCAGTTGGCTGAAGTGTCTTAATACCTGAGCAACAGAAAGGTAGTGGCCATCGCCATCATGACCATG